GAGGAGCCCTTTTGTGTCACCACTGAGCCACGGCAGAAATGCCACGTGCGATGTGTGCGCTGATTGACCAAAACAATATGCGTCCCCGCGACAGCTAGAACCACCCTGACCGAGTAAAATATTTTTCGTGCGTTGATCGCTCTGTCATTTCGCTACGCCGTTTCATCGGGCGTCCACGTTATCGTTACCCTTGTTATAGTCTTCCACGCGCTGTCCACAGCCCACCAGCAGCACTTCCATGTCCCATAAGCAAGGCGGTCCAGTATCGCGACGCATTTTTTCGTCCGTGGACTCTGAGAAACGTACGGGCGCGATCAATCTCTTTCACATGCGTCGTGGCAAAACTGAGTCCGGTCTACGCATCATGCCGCCTTCCCCCCTTCCTGTTCAGTCAAAGGCGTTCGGCATTGATGCGGTCAGTTTGGGAGATGGATGTGCAGGGTTGTATAGGTGCGAAGATGCGCGAGCTTTTCCAAAGCCAGTGCTGTTCCACCTGCGGCTTCAATTTTGCCTCCGAAGTCGGCCCTTGCCCCTTTCGGTACTATTGTGGAAGCACCAGCAGGGGTCACTCAGGAGGAAGGCCGTAAAGGAGGAGCTTTATATGTCCGCCTTCTTTCTGCGGTCCACGTTGGTTTCTTTTCGAGAAGGACAGCCGTTCCTTTCGGCAGTCGACCGAGGCGATACTTGGCGTAAACACTTGTCACCCATCACACCTAACCAACACAATCAACGGTTTCCTGATTTCTCCGTTTCCATCTCTATTTTCAACCCTGGTCGAATATGGGCGATCGGCTTGTATTGTATGTATTGTACACAGACGAGCCACCATTTGCTCATTCGAGGCTATCGAAGAGCATCTCATTACTGGCAACCGCCTCACGAAGGCAGACTGGGAGGCCATCAAGTTGCTGTGGGGGCGACGAAGGCTTGCCGACACCTCTTCCTTCGTCCCCCCCACCGGTGTTCGAATTCAAGCGTCTAAAAAACACTGCTCTTGACAGTTCATTGCAGGAGTCCTCTCCTTAAGCTGAGTATTGGCTGGGTTGATTCGTTGATCGCTCGGCAGTCTCAGGAGCGTACCCGCCACCTTTACGACTAGCACCGTGTGCATTTCGAGCGTGTACACTGTCAGGAGTATTGTAGTGCAAGAACTGACTCTATTCTACTGCATGGGTTTTGTGCAGTATTATGAAGGCGTGACTTCAAGTCTGTAACCGTCAGGTGAAGGCAGGCTTGGTCGCTTTGTATGTTAATGAATCACTCTGTGTTTATCTACCCAAACTGCGCCACTACTGCCAACTACACAGCAGCACACGGCAGCCCAGACAACTGCTGAACTGCTGTCAGGTTATGAGCCTCGCGTTTGGTGGGTAATCACATCGAGTCATCATGTCTACGTCGTCTGCAAACATCTTCAAGCAAGGATACGTCCCGTTCAACGGAAATCCTAATGAGTACCACAGATGGTCGAGTTTGTTCCGCTCGATCATGTACGAAACCGGCCTGGGCGAGGTTATGTCTGGGACGGAGAAGGCTCCGGAAGCTCCGGTGGATGGCACGGCGGATGCTGTTGCGGCGTACGAGACCAAGAAGCGTGCTTTCAAACAAAAGAACGGTAGGCTGTTCACGCGGCTTGATTTAGCGACGTCGGAGTGCGCCGAGGGATTTCAGAGTGCTGCGTCTCTAGTCGTAGGGTCCTTCAACGCCGTTTATCCTGAGGAGTGGGGTGACGGACGTGCTGCATTTCTCGCCCTGGAAGCAAAGTACCGAAAGGCTGGAACGGCACCTTCCACGAGTATCTGATGGAGATCGGATTCGTTCGGAGCCCGGCGGATCCCTGTCTATACAGCCTCAACGCGGGAGAGGTTCTCCTTCTCGTGTACGTCGACGACATCCTATTTTCGGGGAGCGACGAGGATCTGGTGATGACAGTTATCGAACAGCTGAAGGAGCGGTTCGACACGGTGTACCTTGGAGATGCGAAGTTCCTCCTCGGCATGGCGATTGAAAGGAACATCGACGCCGGGGTGATCCTCTTTTCGCAGAACACGTACGCGAACGCCGTGCTTGACAAGTTCGGAATGGCCGACGCTCGCTCGGCGAAGACTCCGGCTGAGCCCGGACCGATCAGCATCGTGGAGGAGGCGGTTCTGTCTCCAGAGGACACCACGTATTTCCGGTCCGCCGTAGGAAGTCTCCTGTATCTCAGCCGGGGCTCGAGGCCGGACATTACTCACTCGGTGATGGTACTAGCGAAGAGCATGGCGAAGCCCGGTCCCAGAGCAATGGTGAAGCTGAAGCGGGTACTCAGGTACCTAAAGGGGACGACCTCCATCGGGATCACATACCGCGAGGACGCCGACGACGGAGACAACCTAACGGCATATGTGGATTCTGACCACGCCGGTGACCTAGACAACGGGTACTCCACTACCGGTGTTGTTTTGTACTTTGCAGGTGGCCCGGTGGAATGGACGGCGAAGAAGCAAACGGTGGTGGCTATATCGACGGTAGAGGCCGAGTACGTCGCACTGTCAAAGGGGTGCGTCATGGTCATCCACTTCCGGAACCTGCTAGAGTCCATGAATCAGAAGCAGGAGCAGGCAACCGTCGTTTTCGAGGATAACTCTGGTGCTGTGTCACTTAGCAGGAGCGCGAAAATCACCCCGCGCACCAAGCACATCGATGTCAAATTTCACCATGTTCGGTGTCTCTTGTAGAAAAGGAAGTGGTAGATGTCGAGTATATCGAAACCAACCTGCAGAGGGCGGACATCCTCACCAAGAGTTCGGGAGCTGTGAAGTTCCTGCAGAACCGCCTTCTGTTGCTTGGAGTGTGAGCATGAGTTGGAGATTTCGGTTGGAAGAGCATTCGTATGATAAGAAGAAAACATTTCGCTGCTTGAAAACTATGGCAGTTAGTGAGTATCATTTTTGGAGTTATTCAGAAAGCACGTATTCGTAGACATTTGTTCGAGAGGACACTGATATCGTTTTGAGAGGACATTGAGAGAGAGAAGATCGTGTCTTGTATTTCAGAATTAGAATGCCGTAGCTCTTGAGAGGACATGTCAGGAGTATTGTAGTGCAAGAACTGACTCTATTCTACCGCATGGGTTTTGTGCAGTATTGTGAAGGCGTGACTTCAAGTCTGTAACCGTCAGGTGAAGGCAGGCTTGGTCGCTTTGTATGTTAATGAATCACTCTGTGTTTATCTACCCAAACTGCGCCACTACTGCCAACTACACAGCAGCACACGGCAGCCCAGACAACTGCTGAACTGCTGTCATACACCAAAGTGCGCGCAGCATGAAGCTGCCGTTCGCAAGAACGGTGGAGATCTGGACGAGGTGGTATGGTCGTGGGCTTTGCTCGAGGGAAGCGCCGTAGAGCAGGGAGGAGGTCCGGCCTGCCATCGAACAGCAGGGTGACGGTCTACATGTAGTGTAGGTGCGACGGGCGGTCGTAGGGCCTTGACCCCAATCACGCCGAACGTGACCTTCCTCGTGAATCTCAAATTGCTCAGTGTTGCTCACGATACGTCGTACTTCACGCAATGCGGCGTCCGTGTTTCTGCCCTACGGTGATCACGGGAGTTGCGATGCGTTGGATCCAGCGGTCTCTGTTGAAGGACTTTTTTTTCTAATATTCTTGATGAACACGATGCTCAGGTTGAATCCACCCAGAACAAGAAAATAGGTGTCCTCTACATGGGGCCCTCGGCGTAGAAATGAGAAGAATTCCGTTTCTCATACATGGGTGGATGTCTGCTGATGCCCGCTCGAAAATTCGAACTTTTGAAAACAAGAACAAGTGCACGGAAATGTTGAGGCAACCAATCAGTATCGAGCCTCGACCAAGATAGGTGGTTCTAAAGTGCGGGCACTATTTGTACGAACGAATACATACCTTGATTTCGTCCTCGTTCCGTGAAACATACAGCACGGCCGAAATACTCGCTTCCCACAGCATCAGATCAGCGAGCCGGCGCTCCTGCAGATCAGTCATGTATGAATGGTAAATGAAAACAGCACACTGGCTGGGGATGATACAGTACAGATTTACACATGTATCGATCTTCATTACACATTCCAGTTCGTTTCTGCCGCACACACCGTGTGTGTAGGGGGGAGCGGAGGGCCCCAGACTATCTGTCGTTGATTTGAATTGGCTTGCGGAACCTCTGGGTCCGTTTTATTTGAGAACCTTTTTTTGGCAAGTTAGCCTGTGACCACCGGCCAAGTGTTCGATTAGTACGGACAGATGAAGGTACTGGGTAGAGAGATCGGAACGGTATGTGCAGACAACAACAACAATAGAAACGACAAACCGCGGCGCCGCAAACGTGGTGCGCCAAACGACCCGACCCAAACGAAGCATTTGTTGTGTAGAGAGTTCCTCCTGGCTGTACTTTTTCCCCTGTTGACTCTGTGTAGCCCCAAACAACCCGACCCAAACATGCACATTCCTAAGCTGCCGGAAAGTCGCTGTGCCCTACCACTCTGGCCCGGAATATAAGGGACATTTGGAGCTACAGACAAAATCTCTGGACGTCTATTCCGTAGGTCGCGGGACCGAAACCCGGCAAAGAACTAACAGTACCATTTTCTCCATTTGAGAAAGAAAATACGATGGTACATTTTTTTTTTCTGAGGAAAAAAAAACTGAGATTCCTCCGTTATCCCCCCGGGGCGATGATAACGACCCATCCTCGTTTTTCAGGATTGCATATTGTATCACAATCATTCATCATGTGTATGTTGTAGGAGTGTTGCCGTGAACTTTTTTCGGTCTACAATCATGTCTGGCACATCAAATTCCAAATGTCCGGTACCAACTGTCCCTAATTTCCGGGCCAGGTGGTATGTGTGAGTTTGAGCGTAAGCCTATGCCGCGGGGAAAAAACGGTGGAAAGCTAGGCTAGCCGCGGCGCGGGGCAGCAGGTGCAACACTACAGGACATGCAGGTGGTTGTGCGTGTAAGCTTTTAGCCGTGGCGCAAGACCGCATGGGTCGCTACGTGAGGTTGTCGCTACGCGTGCTTCACTCACAACCCAAGGAATGTTCCGAGAATTCGTACAACATGGTGACATGGAGACCACCTCCAATATGCAGTGCTCCAGGAGACTTCTCGCCGGGCAGGTCCAACAAGCACAGGGAAAACCTTGGTGACGAAGAAACAGATGCCTCTACTGTGCAAAAATAACGCCGCTCTATGCTTCCGCTCGAAGCAAGTTCACTTGTGTGCCTCGTATGGTGAACCCGTTACAAACCAGTATAGACGTTGTTGTACCTGTAGTGCAGCTGTATCAACGGAACAACTTCGAACTTCAAACGCGTGTGTCGTGAGACTGCTTTATTTACCGCAGTTTGTCGATGCGGTGTACATGCAGCCCGAACTACACACTTTGCACTTAAAAGAAACTGGTACTACGATGCTGCTGCCACGCTCCTCCTCCTGCAGACACCCACGCTCACCTCTCTGTGTGCGAAGAAGCTGATCGTGTTCTGCCCGTGTCCTTTTCAAACCAAGTCAACCTGCGTCTTCCGAAAGGGGAAAAATCAGCTACTTTTTGAGACTACAGGCCGTTGCCCGCAACTCTGCTACAATTGTATACTGCTGTATGAATACATATCTCATTCCCAAACAAAAAGCTTTTACCCAAAAGGCAGAGTCCTGCTTACACGGTTCTTTCTTGAAGCGTGCGCTTCTGGTGCTCTTCCAATGTGGATCGTGAGAGACTGGTCCGCGGGGAGGGTTGGTTGCAAGTTGTGCGGGGAAAGTTGGAGGCGAGGAGGCAAGGTGGGGGGCCACTTTTGTCCGAAGAGAACAACTCGACCAGGACGAGCGGGAAGAACAGGGGTACTTACATTATTGGGAGCCCACGTGGGACGTCCCATGGGACAGCCCTGGGACGTCCCACGTGTCTCATGGTGTCCCATGGAACAGCTAGGGCCGTCCCATGGTGTCCCATGAGACAGCTAGGGCCGTCCCATGGTGTCCCATGGGACACGTGGGACGGCTCGTGGGACGCGTGGGACGTCCCATGGGACAGTAAGTCCAGTCGAACACAATTCAGACACGCTGAGAGAGGGGTTCCTCAAGACGCATGGCCCATTGCACGAGAGACTGGGTTACACATTGATAGTAGATGTTTAGGAGGTATTTTCGGTATTATTACCGGGGTTCTATAACAGAACCTCGGGGATAAAAGCGAGCAACGGCAGCAGAACAATATTACTGCTGCTTGCTGTGAAGCGGAGCGCGGTGCTGCTGCTTGATACAGGTCGCTGGGTAATGCTGTAGGGAAGAGCAGCTGGGGTGGTTGGCAGTTGAGGAAGCCATTGCACGAGAGACTGAGTTACACATTGATAGTAGATGTTTAGGAGGTATTTTCGGTATTACAGGGGGGGGGTTCTATAACAGAACCTCGGGGATAAAAGCGAGCAACGGCAGCAGAACAATACTACTGCTGCTTGCTGTGAAGCGGAGCGCGGTGCTGCTGCTTGGTACAGGTCGCTGGGTACTGCTGTAGGGAAGAGCAGCTGGGGTGGTTGGCAGTTGAGGTAGCCATTGCACGAGAGACTGGGTTACACATTGATAGTAGATGTTTAGGAGGTATTTTCGGTATTACAGGGAGGGGGGGGGTTCTATAACAGAACCTCGGGGATAAAAGCGAGCAACGGCAGCAGAACAATACTACTGCTGCTTGCTGTGAAGCGGAGCGCGGTGCTGCTGCTTGGTACAGGTCGCTGGGTACTCCTGTAGGGAAGAGCAGCTGGGGTGGTTGGCAGTTGAGGTAGCGTAGAGGAGGTTACAGATGCATAGTGTGTATTCTATACTGCTTTCAGCTCGGAAAAGGAAGAGAGAGACAGCAACCAGCCAGCCCAGCCCAGCAGCTCGCGAGCTGCACCCGACCGCAGAAATGAAAGAATGCACCCGCGCTCGTACCCGCCTCCGGTTGTGCACTTGTAGCCTTGCTTTCCGCCTTAGTTCCTCCAGCTTCGGAAGTAGAGATGTAGTGCAGCAAGCTTATGTACCCTGTGGTCTTATTGCAGCTCCATGATTTACCAACGTGAGACGGTCTTCAAGGCATACGGCGTACGTACGGGGTGACACAAGATACCACACACCCTGGACCGATTTCAAAAGCTCCAACCATCCACGACGCAGAGGATGTTTCAACGCCACCCAACGCCACCATTTGAGGCACCGCCACAATTACTTCTGTGGAGTACATCCAATCTTTAAAAATCGGTTTGAGCATGTGGTGTCTTGGCACCTACTGCAACAGTCACATTAGCATCTCTTACCACGATATCACCCAACGGTCTCTTCCGAACACAGCAGTGCGCTTCATAAACAAACCCTGTCTCCCGGTCTGTCTGCCCTCTCAGCTTAGCAGCCTTCATTTTTCGTTTTCCTTTTCCCTCGAAGCACTTGGGGTGCTGTTCTCGTGAGCCTTACTTAACTCCTTGTTGGACTACAGTAGTACAAGCTAGAGATTGTATCACATTTATTTTGGGCTGGAGCTGCCGGCGTACTGCCCTACCCGCCGTTTACGTGGCTCCGCGAGAAAAAGAAATGATGAGGGACTGCACGGAGAGGTGGAACAGGTGAACGGTGCACGGAAAGGTGCTACAAGTGAACCGTGCCTGATTCTGCGACTCGTTTCCTCTCGGTATCACAGTCGTGCTACTGCTGTCACCAGTCATTTTTGTCGCTGTTCTTTCTCACGCCAACAGAAGGCAGGGGAAGAGTTGGGGTGCACGCAGTGGTTGCTGCTGGGTTGTTTGTAGATATGTTAACTTGGTCTCAATGCGTGGAGTTGCGATGCAGATGAGCAAACGGGAGAAAAGCATTAATTGAGTACTGCTGACGTATCGATTTTTAGTGGGAAAGAATTGCTGCAAAGCAAAGGTGCCAACTGGGTAAATGTACGTACGTACGTGTTTGCCAACCGATAGTACTGTAGTACGACAAGTTCTGGTCACGATCAAGGGCAAGTTCGGGTCACGATGTAGGGGTATCGATGGCCCTATCAGCGCTCTGGTGTGTATCTGATACCGCTCTCCTTGTAGAATCTCGTATCCGGTAGACCTCCTGCTAGTAGACAACGAACGAACGCCTATACACCCATCGCGGCTACCTTGATCGACCGTTCCAGAGGATTACCTAAGATTGTTTCCCGACTGTGCCGCCAAGACGATGGCTTTTTTCGTACTCTCTGCATATATATATATAGAAGGGCAGCGATCGATGCCATCGTGTTTCAGGATGCACGCCCAAGTACGTTTTACTTTCACGTAGAAGGCATCCTACGGCTGTGTCTCGGTTTCGGCCAAAACCGGCGGCGGCCGTTGAGAGCGCAAACCGCAAAGACGTGTAGAAATAATCGTTTTGCTTCAGTTTTTTTGCGTTGCCGAGCTCCACACGTGCCCTGGACGAGTCTAGCGGCCATTCAATAGGACCCGGCGTGCCGTTGGGCGGTCCATCTTCGGGGTCGAAAAAAATCGCTCTGTTGTAGTTTTTGGGCGGGCGGGGCGGGGGTTAACGAGACCCCTAGAGGAGGCCATGCTAGTGCCAATCGTTTTTTTTTTTCTTACAGAAAGTGGTTTCCGGGGTCCTTGGGTACACAACTGTTTGTGGAGAAAACATCAAGTGCGCCGTGCGTCTCTGACACGATGCCGTGAGTGCTCTGGAAGGGGTGGGTAATGGCCAAAATGGCGTTACCTGATTTCGGACGCTGGGGGGGAGGGCACGCGTGAGCGTTTTTCGGGATTGTTTGAGGGACCTTCCGCTTAGCGACGTCCCACCACGCTTGATGGGTCCATGCACACATTTGGTGGAGAGTAGCGCAGTCCCGGAGCACCTGGGCCGTCACGAACACCGTCTACGCACCGAAACAAGGCCTTTCAATTACGACGTGAACGAGGTGTTGACTTATAATTGACAGAGAATCTTTCGTTTTTCTCGCGTACCTAGAACGGGCCTAGCCCCGAGAATAC